CAGTGAGGCTCCTATACCTACTGGTTGCAAATAGGCTATAAACGACAAATACTAACTAGAGGTGTAGACAGAGCAGAGATGGTGAAAGGGTAGCCATGGCCACAGGGATTACCAAACTTAAATCATTCCAGCTTAAAACCTTGGGGAGGAGAAGGAACTTCTATTGCCAAGTAATAAAATATAAAATCCTGGGAAAGGGGTTGGGTGGTCAGGTTCAGATCATGTGCCCACCCCTGAACCAATCATAGTGGTCACAGGAACATAAAGAACATCATAGTCCAACCCTTTGGGGTACACAGGTATGTGTGTGTGTGTGGCAGGAGGTGTCTGCTATCAGAAAAGAGAGGGAGTGAAGGAACTCTTGGGGAACAAACATGCTCAACAGGTAGAAACAACTGCCACCATCGACAGACTGGCCCAGGACATCTAAAGTCAAGTTTTATACCGTTGGTCTTTTCTCCAGAATTTTCTTCTGGATATGTCAATATTCTTGTTTTGCCCTCATTTTTCATGTATTAATTCAATAAATATTTATTAAGTGCTTGCAATTTATCAATCATTGTGGCTAGGCCAGAAAGAACACGACAGATTTAATCCCTAGCCCTGTGAAATTTGTTAAAATTACAGTCTAAGGGGGAGGTGGACTATTGAACACCGAATCACCATGTGCTGAGTGGCACAAAGATGTGCAGGGTGTAACAGGACAATTTCAAGGAGCCAGCCACCGAGATGATGGAAATAAACGATGTACTACAAAAGTCGCAAGGGACACCTTGGACAGCTCACGTTGTCTAAAATATGAGCAGACAGGGGTCATCCTGTCACACCAGCATATATCTCAAAGGAAAAATGGAAACATCCTGTGAATATAGTCCTTGAGGCCAGAAAAGATGGCCAAGATCCAAACTCTGCCAGGACCAGCCCAGAGGACTCTTGCCTATGATCACCTGACACAGCTGGCAGCAGACCGACAGGAGTGAGAGGTGCTGGAATAATGTTCTCTTTTACACACTCAGAGGCAACTTGGTTGAGTATCTTTCTGACTGAGAAAATATAACTGTCTTATAATTATATTTTGGAAACATATTAAAAAACATTATCGGCAGCTACAAAGGAGATAAACTTGCATTTGACTGGCTAGAGGTCCTATACATTTTTTTAAAAATTGAAAGCTGTGATTTACTGAAGCTTTAACAGTCCACTAAATGTACCCAAATCAGCATGTTTAAATGAGGCATGGGGGAAGAGGAAAAGGGGTGAGGCAGACCATATAAGAGAGGGAGAAAGAAAAGGCTTACCTTTAAACTTGCTGCACTGGAGCAAACACTTCCCATCCGATGTCATACATATCTCTGAAGCTGGGTACTACAGTATTCTGTGTTAAATGCATTTTATGGGGACTTGGAGGGGATTTAGGGAAAGGCTGCCCCAATAAATGATTTACCAGCTCTAATAAAACATCAAGGAAATTGTTCAGATTGCATCTCAGACCATTTAAAACACAAGTTTATAGGGATCTCAGTAGCCCCCATATCCTCAACCCTAGTTTAAAAAGAAATGTTTATAGTGGTTAATTATCCCATATTACTTTTTTTTAAATGGTAGCAATTTCAAGAGAAGGGAGAGATTGGAAGTAAATAAATAAGTATAAAAACCAAGAGAGTTGGGAGAGAGAGAGAGAGGCTGACTGATTGCTCATTCCTCCTTTTATTCATTCATTCAATTAACATTTACTGATCGCCTATCTATCATAAACCACATATTCTAGGGCCTAGAGACCCAGGGGTGACCAGACAAGAGGGATTCCTTCCTGCCCACAGCTTCTGTTTAGTGAGAGGAAACAGAAATAAGCAAATGAATGAAATAAATAGAAAAGATTAATTTAAATTGTGACAAAGACTTTAAAGGAAACAAACAAGGTGATGAGAAAGTAAGTAACCAGAAGAAGGGAGAGCACTACCTTCCATGGAATAGTCAGAAACGTCCTCTGTGGAGACAAAATTGATGCTGAGACCTGCAATATGTGTAGCCAACCATTCTACTAAGAACAGAGAGAACATTCCAAAAACAGGAGGCATGAAGTGTGGAGGTCCTGGTATGATAAAGAGCTTGGTGTATTTGAAGAACAGAAAGGAAGGTCATCCTAGGGTGACCTATGCCCTCTAATTTAACCTTTAGAAATGACATTTTCCTCAAAATTTGTTATTATTAATGTTAATAATATTAGTTACATTTATTAAAAATCTACATGTTCCAGTCACTGTACAGACTATCTTACATACATTATCTTTCGACTTTAACAATAACCATAACATCCCACGACACAGGTAGCATTATTCCAGTTTGATACAGGAGAAAATAGCCTCTGAAAGTTTAAGTAAATTGTTTAACACCACACAGCAGAGGCAAAACTGGAAGTCATGCTCAGTTTTATCCACAAAGCCTACACTCTTTCATTTCTTTTAAATTGTTTGTTTTGTTTGACAAATATTTGTTGAACTCTGTCCAAGGAGCTGTGCACACAGAAATGAATGAAGCAAAATGTGGTAGGTTATGTTTCCAAGGATAGCCGCACAGTATCTTCCATCACAACATGCTCTTTTGCAATGTCACCTTTCCACTCTTGCGTCAAGAAGTGGATCCTATCTCCTCTGTCTGGCCCTATGACTTGTTTTGACCAATAGAATATGGTGGGAGTCACTGTGCAACTTTGAAGGTTTGGCTATAAGATATTTGCAGTTTCCACCTTTCGTGCTTGGAAAAATGCTACTTGGAACCCAGGCACCATGCTGTGAGGAAGTCCAAGCATAACTGGAGAGACGCCCATGTGGAAATGTGAGGATCTTAGTTGACAGCAGAAACTGAGGCCCCAGACATTTGGTCCCAGTTGAGGTATCTAAGCCAGACCCCAGCAATTTGAGCCACCTCAGCTGAAGCCCCAGACATGGTGGAGCAGAGACAAGCTTTCCATGATGTGTCCTGCCTAAATTCTCTACCCACAGAATTATGAACAAATAAGATGGTTGTTTAAAGCCACAAAGCCTTCAGTGATTCATCATGTAGCAATAGATAACCAAAACACAAATGAGCCCCAGCCTGGTGAAGGAGACAAGCATATAAATATCTTAAAAAAATGTAAGTGAGTGTCATGAGAGAACAACAGAGAAGCATTGAAGTCAGGGTAGGGCAAGAGTGAGCAAGTTTTTTTGGTAAGGAGCTAAATAGTAAATATGCTAGACTTTGTGGGCCATACTATCTTTGCCTCAACCACTCAGTTCTACCATTATAGGAAAAAAGCCAAAGACAATATGCAACCAAATGGATGCATCTGAGTTCCAATTCAGCTGTTTTTCATAAAAACAGATGGAGGACAGGACTTAGCCTGGGAGCTGTATGTGCCAGATCCTAGTCTAGATTTAGAACATGAGATGAAGCCTACCAAAGGAGGAACACCTGAAAGTGGCACCTTCAAGGATCTATCAGAAACTCTGCCATCCTTGTAAATTCTTAAGCCTTTTAACTCTCTGTGTAGGATAATAATGACATTGTGAAATTGCATACACTGGACTTTGAAAGGTCATCCCAACTGAGGTAGGCCAATCGAGAGCTGAGTCACCAGAGAAAGCCTGGCAAGGCGACAGGGACAAATGGAGGAGCTGGGAGCCTGAGAGCTTAACTGAGCTTCTTCTCCAGTCCAGGTGAAGCTCAAACAAGGATTGAGAGCTTAGATGTGGCTCAACAGCAGCTCCAGCTCTCCCATCTGCACACCATAGTAAGCAGCTGGTACCTCTGCTCTGGCAGTTATTTTACTGAATGATATATAATGTGTACTTGTCACTCTCCCCCTAAAGACTATCACAAACTGAGAGTTTCTTAAGAACAGGGAGCTTTTTCCTACTTGAAAATTGCATTTATTGTATATTTTTCTTTCTAGAAGAGGTATGCATATTTCTTGTCTTCTGGGCTCCTTGGCTTCCCTCCTGCCTTATGTTTCTTAAGTGCAAGTCTGCATCTCTTACCCAGAGAATGATTCACTGGTTGGCCTGGAGACCACACTTCATCTGCTTCAGGAAAGCATCAGTGAAAGTATTTAGAATTTTAAATCTAAATGAAAAACCAGAGGGACTTATAAAGGTGTGATTGGATACTGGAAATCTGAGCTGATACCCTGTCCTCCCAATGGTGGTTCCAGGATGGAAGAGTAAGAAAAGAGTCTTTGGGAACCAAGTCATAAGGCAAATAAATGCCCAGTGGGAAAACCATTCAGGGCATGGAACATGAGGTGGGCAGGCAGCCAGCGGTTTGTAATGGATGACTTTGACTAGCTACTCCATCTCTTCTTTCCTAGGTTGCTCCATGTGTCACACTGTCACTTACTGTTTCTTCCCTCACCCTTGATGAATCCCTCCATTGCAAACTCCTGCAATCACTACCTCTGAGAACTTCCATTGCTCACTCTTTTACACATTTTTTCATATTTGTTATATATGTGCTTGCATAGACAGATATACTTGCTGAGAGTACTTGCAGAGATACACTTGTAGACAGAGCAACAACTATGATCTGCTTAGATCTTAAGTGAACTAAGGTTTACAGCATGTTATCAACCCCAGCTATGCATCTCTAGACACTGCTCACAACAAATTGTCACCATTGCTCCACTGTATTCTTCTCCCCAAGATTCGGCTCAAACTTTTTCTGAGAACCCTTCTCCATTCTCAAGCAAATTTGGCCATGATCTTCTCCATGTGTGTACGTGGCACTTTGTGCACTTTCTTAAAATAGCGCTATCACATCACACTGATGTTTTTAAGCATCCATACACTTCATTGGATTATGAGCTTTCTCAAGTCAGGACATATACTATATAGCCTGTAATAGACATGTAATCGATATTTGTTGAATAAATGAATAATAAAAGAATAGAATTAATGAACTTAATTCTATGGAATTCAATGAATTTAAATTTGAAAATAGAAATACAGGGTATAGTTACTCACCAAACTGAAAATCTGTGTTTCTCCAGTTCCTCCAAGTAAGATACATCCTCTGAATAATCTTCAGTTTCTCTAGTTCTCCAAGCACTTGATTTTTCCTTCATAGAATGGTCAGTCTGGCTTTCTCTCTTATCAGTGGAATTAAATAAATGAAAAAGATGACATATTTTAGCAGACAGAAAGTTTACCTGGTTTCAGTGACATTTTCTTAAGAATGACATATAACCATTGATCATACAGAAGCGTAGTTACCTATGGTTGTGGCATTAAATTATTGCTTTACCTTCCAGATTCTCTCAGTAAGTTCTCATGATTATAAAGACAGAGACTGTGACATGTCCACTTTTGTATTACTTCACATGGAACAGCTGCTGTCAATGTTGTTAGAATAAAAAATAATAATAACCGTGGTCATGGTATTTGTATTGTCAGGACTATTGATTGCAAGCAAAGGAAATACAGCTTGAACTAGCTTTCAGCAAAAAGGAATCTGAAGGAAGGTTTGAACAACAGCCTATAAAGAAGGCAGAAAAGCAGCCAGATTTGGGAAATATGGGAACCAAGGATCCAAAGGGCACCACGACTTTTTCTCCACCTGTGCTCTCTGCTTCAGCAGCCTACTTCGTTCTAGCATTGTCACCAATAGCTCCTGAGTTCCAGAGTGCGTGACTCTCAAGAGCATAAATTTAAACTCAGGACCATACAATATCTGTGGAGTTAATTTATTAGAACTTGAGAGAATTGTGTGACCCATGATGATGGGCCCAGCAAAGAGACTGTCCCATTGGAGAAACTGAGCTTTGTAGCTCAACGAAGGATTTTTAGGAGCCCTGCTATGGTGAGGAGTGTGAAGACAGAGCAGCTCACCTGGCCAGACGACTCCTCCTCCCTCCTTCACCAAAACCAGTTCAACTTTTACCTATTTACATGTTGGGGTCTCCAGTAAGATTTTATTACAAAGTACTGCTGACAAAAAGTCATTTGAAAACCACCAGTCTACAGAAGAAGAAAATTAGGCACGACTTGCATTCATAAGACAGCTGTGTTAAACCTTCTTTTTCCTTTTTGTTAGACTCTTCTCAAATGTTTTTCATTATCATTTGTAGGAGGTTGATTATCTGAAATTCCTTGACATCAGCTCATATAAGTTTTAGCAACTCTGTAGTTGAAATATTTTGCAATTGCAAAATGTTGCTTTGGATTCACAGGTTGCAGTAAACAAGACAATTTTACAGTGAGACTTGTGTGAAGAGGATATGTCATCAAATCTCTAGTGAACTCGACAAGGCTCACTTCTTTGATTATGAAATTGATTGATTGATTTGATTATCGTAAGAAGAAAATCCAGCTATGACAGCCGTCAATTTGATGTACTGTCCTCTGTCTTTCTCAGACTCTATAGCTCCTGTACCAATAATGGTATTTTTAATCAGATTATTTAGTGTTGGTAATTTTAATTGCTCCATTTCTGAGTAAATTAAAGAGTGCCAAAATTCTTTTAAATAATAGGAGAGTTGTGAATTGTCCGAACTCAATATATTTGATTTGCATACCTTATTAGACTGCTTAAAATATGCTTTTGTAGCAATTTAAATTTCAAATTTAATGGTGTTTCTTTAGGAATTGCTTAAATATTTTACCCAGTCTGACTTGATAGAAAGCTGAAATTACCACCAAAAATCACACCATAGATTTGGTTTACCCACCAAAGCTCCTGATTTGCTAAAGTATAGGTGTTTCGTAAGAGAGTGCATTAAGTTGCTTTCCTTTTGGTTAATCTGTGAATATCTATCTTGATTGTTCAACTAAATTCACTGTGGAAATGGGATCTAGTGTATTTCTCTGTATCTTTCACAGCACCTAACGTGGTAATAACCGCATGATACTTAAGAAATAGCTACTAGAGATCATTTCATTAAGTACTCATACTGCAGTTACAACAATGGACTTCATCTCCAGTTGCTAAGTCACAAAGAAAAACATCTGTGAATTCTAAAAGTAGCAAAAATATTTTGAACCTTTTGATTTCCTTTAAAGAATATCTAAGTTAATGTGCTAAAAATTCCTTCAAATGTATGTTTTGGAAGACATAAAACATGGACACTAGATCATCTCCAGAGAAATGAGCCCAAAGAGAAACAAAAACACAGAGAAATGAGTTTTAAATCGAAAAAGGAAGTAAATATGTGCAGGAAAATACCCAAGTGACTACGAGGGTGTGTAAGCCTGTTCACACGGAGGAATCAAAACAATCTGCCCACCAGAAATTCATGTCTTAAATCTATACCTCAGAAATCCTGCTTGAACTAGGGTGGCATCAACATTTAAAAGGCAGAAAATAGATGCTCTGACCCATCACAATTGTAAGTCCTGTCTATACCCTGAAGCCAAAGAACACCATCATAATAAAAAAATTCTTCCAATAGCCATGTGTTTAGAAAGATAAATATCTATACTTTAAAAGAGAAATTGGTGGTGAAAATTTGTTCTGGAGCATCACATTTTATACATTATATATAAGGTTACTCATACTCTGATCCATTGCAGAAATCAACAGCAAATGTTTAAACATAAATTGCTAAAATCCAGAATATGATTTTCAAATTCACTGACTAAACATTTGGTTTGTGAGGATTGCCATTCAAATACAACATCAGTTAGGAAACAATGAATGAGCACCCTTCAAACACAAGAGCAAATAAGAGCCTAGAAAAGTGTTTTGAAGAATTTGAAAAACTGAAGTGTGTAGTGTTATAGTGAAAAGGGTCAACAGTGATGGTCGGAAGACACACATTCAAGTCTTCTCATGTCTTTGGAAACTTAGACGATTTAAAGGTAATGAATTTAAGTTTTTTTTTAAATCTGAAGAATGGAGATAATATTTATCCTACACGGACCACAGGATTCTTATAAAGACAAACTGAGATAATATCTATAAAATTCTTCTGGGTTTGGGGAGGATAGCACTTAAAACGCTTTGGAATATTAATGATATAAGTAGCATCTGACACGATGCACTATATAGCACAGATGAGCAATGGAACATTTAACATCCTTTCTCTTGCATTTATTATACCATTTCTATGAAGCTGCTAAGTAAAAAATATTATAAGACTTAATATATAATAATTGTCAAAGTTGTCATGATAAGCACATTTAATTGTGTTACATGGTAGGAAGCAAAGCCCAGGATCCCTATCTTGTTGTTCTGAGGTTTTTGCTCCTTACCCATAATTCCTTTCACAGACCAATCGGCGAATAGAGAATGGTGACCATGATGGGACTGATGAGAAGGTCAGTCTCTTTGTGGGGAAAGAGAGCTTGCAGTGCACAGGCCGGTGGCACCAGTGCAGTGGAAAAGCATTACAGTGCCAGCACAATTAAGCACCACTTAACAGCAGCATGTTTCTCCCCAAACTCCTTAGAGGGTCTTTGTGCGGGGCTCTGGGGAGCTCTGCTCATCTGCCCATCTGGCCAGATGAAGAGCAAAGGGATTGTTTCATCAAAAGAGAGAGCCTTAGAAAAAGGAAATAGTGAATAAAAGGCTGAATCCTGAGGATTACAAACGCTTTTGAACTGCCCTGGGAAGATCAGAAGTGAGCAGCCGTGGACGCTTTAATTCCTGCCCACGTGATGTGCACCATCTTTTAAGAAGGCGGTGGAGGAAGGTTTGGGGTGGAGGTACTCTGCTAAGAGGCTTGTGTTAATAAGATCACAAAATTGCAAGTCATAGATAACAACAACAAACACCAGGTGCATCTGAAGTATCAAAGCAAACAAATATGACATCATGTTCAATTCCATCGGCACTGTTATTATCATCCAAGAAAGAAATCATAGCTCCGCATTAAATCCAGCCTAAATCCCGAGACCATCCAGCGAGAATATGATTTCCTCTTTCTTTAATTCATGTCTAATTCGTGTACCAGAGAAGTTTTCAGGACAGGCTTTCCATTAGCAGTGCCCAGGGAGAGAGAGGGTGTTGTCAGCTGGGCAGCTCAGGATTTACCTGGAAGGACCCCTCAAGGAACTCACCCCCTTGGGCTTTTGTTTCTGCCCTCTGGAGAACAGCTAGTATTTCTGGCCACTTGAGACCACAAATTCCGATTGCTCTCTGGCCAGAAAAACTGATGCTTCTGTTGTGAAGTACATCAACTTCATTTTCCCACAGCCACCCTACGAATTGCCTAGGTTAGAGTCTTTAATATCAATTGAGGATCCAAATTAATTCCTAATAATCATGAGAAGATGAGAAAAAAAAAGGAAAATGCTTAAATTGGAGTAGAGAGTGTCAGATTTATATTTAGTAGGTGGTATGACCACCTTTGTCCACAGCATTTAGTGGCTTATAATTTGGCTGTGCTTCTGGCTCTGTCTGCCCAGAGCACCGATGTTAGTGAGACATATTCTTAGGAGGCAGAAGCTGCTTCCTGAAGCAATTCAGAGTTAAGACACCTTCCCAAAGCGCCTGACCCCCAGGAAAGAGCTTACTCTCCTAAGCAATTGACTTACAATTTTTGGAATATAATATTAAAAATATAATGAAAAAGAGGGCTCCTTAATTGAACATGTAAACTCAGAAAACATGGGGAAGCATTTGAGGTTTTCTGTGTGATCGTATTCTTTCTCACCTTTTCTGCCTTAGTTTTTCGTCTAATCCCAAAGTTTAAGGTTAACAAATGGCATGAGAATTTACAAAAATGTTTAAAAGGCTAATATTAGATCCACAATATCCTAGAAGTTTCATAGACATATCCTTTCTTTAGTGCCCCAAAGAGAACACATAAAAGTACCCAATAAATAATATGTATAAAAAGATGTGAGCTTTTTCCTTCCTAGCAAACTGTCCTTTGTTTTCATATCCTAGCCCTTAAATTAAGGTTATAGGACCCAAGAAGTAGGAAACATACACCTGGCTGAAAGGAGAAAGGAATATACAACATTTTTGAAATATTATTTCATGATGGATACAAATATGGAGTCTAGAAACAGTCTAGGTTCAAAGCCCAGCTATATACTTATTAGCGATGTTATTTTGGCGAACTTACTCCACCTCCATGCCTTATTCTTCTCACCTGTAAAATAGGAAAAATGATATTAGTAACAGTACCTATCTCATTAGTTTGTTGTGAGAATAAGATGAGACATTGGTTGTAGAGAACTGAGAACACTTCCTGGCGCCTAGTAATCTCCTACCACTCAGTAACACCATCTTTCATCGTTACAAATTTCATTAGACTTTTGATTCCTAAGCTTTCTTTAATACAGACTGTGATGTACGAACAACCACAACTGTAAATGCTGTAAGTGGTCAACTGAACATTAAAAATCCAGTCATTTATTTGGTTTGATGGTGATCTGGTCTTTAGAGATGAAAACAAGACTTACTTTAAAGTCAGTCTTGAGAGAATCACGTGCAAGTTGGCTCTAAAGACTCATCTTTATTTAGTCAGGATAGGGGAGAATTCAGATCACTTGTATGGGGAAGGGAAGGGTTCAAGGGGAATCCTGTTACTTCAACTTTCTAGCCAGGCTAAATTTTCCGAATACTAAAACTTAGTCATTTGATCTACATAGATATAGATTTTGGAAATGGTTAAGTATCTAAAAACTGGATCCAGTAAGACGAGTACAAATAATTTAACCAATGTTTGGAAAGCCAGGCTAGGTAATTTATATAAATTTATCAAGACAGTTTCTGGACAGGCTTCATGGCAGCCATGATCACGCCAAATAAAATCCAGTACAATCAGCACATTTTCTAATCACCTTGCCTGAGCTGGAAAGAACCATATAGACTGATTAATTTAACTAAAGTCTCTAACAGCTTAAAGAAGTCTGATTTGGATGTAATAAAACTTTATTTGCAGTACTGATTTCACAAACGTCCGCTGCTTTAGCATGTGCCATACTTCAAAACCTGCTGTGAAGACCAAATTACTTTTTCCCTGAAAATATACTTTAAGAAATCACAGTTAATAATCAGGGGCTGCTGTTTTCATGGGTTTTCCAAAGCCCACTCCTAGAGCCTTCCTCTTACCTTATCGTGTAATTCCTGATCTTCTTTTGAGAGACTGAGGTCACAGTCCGTAGGGCAGGGACCAATTTTATTAGAAATGCTTCCTAGGGTTAAAAACAAAAGGTGGAAAAAAAAATATATTACAGATGTTCACTTCAGAGGATATGTAAGCTTACACTGCTGAAATCTAAGAGCTTATATAAGGCCTGACAAATGGTAAAAGAATGAATGCTAAGGAGATGCTAAGCTATTCTATGCTCCCAGTTTTAATTCAGTCAAGGCATGAACTTCAAGTAGAACTCTACCATTGCCCACACCACAGGGATGCAATTTACAAGCAGCAGCTGTGTCTGATCTGCTTTCCTACCCTCATCCGGGTAGGATTCTCTATCATCAGCTATGTTTCTGGGATCAAGTTTTCAAAGAAACTTCTCTGTACCTCATACCAATGTTCCGATATAAAACCTTGGGAGTAAGGAGCTCTGTTCTCTGCCTACCCAGCACTTCCCACCTGAGCTACATTTTTCATATTTTGCATGATGTGTTTTATAACAGGTTTTCTCAACCTCAGCACTGTTGACATTTTGGGTTGGATAATTCTTTGTTGTTGGGGCTGTCCTGTGTTTTGTAGGATGTTTAGCAGCATTCCTGGCCTCTACCACTACATTTCAACAGCACTCTCCACCTCCCCGTCTGTCCCCCGATTATGATAACCAAAAACATCTCCAGACATTACCAAATGTTCCTTGGGGGGCAAAAAATTCCCAATTGTGAACTAGTGCTCTAGATAGAATCCCCTTGCAGACAGTGAATCCTGTTCATCTGTGTTTCTCCTATAGTGTCTAGCACAGTGCCTGAAAAAGATATCTTCTCAACAAATGCTTCTTAAATTAAAAATAAACAAACAAACAGAGATATCACCTAAGCAAGTATTACTTCAATTTTATGCCTCTCAAGTGATTGGTTTGACCTCTCATATCAATGAACCCATTTGCCAAGGCCTCTCCCCAGCATCTTATGGCAAATATCCTGGCCCGGAAGCTTTTAGAACTTGGACTACCTCAGTAGAGCCACAGCTTTGACAAAGAGATTGACTCAACATCTTTTTTAAAAAGTATACATGTATCATATACATGAGCAACCAAAGCCTTGCTGCCATCCTCTTCTCTCCCTCCAGAGATCGAATGCTACCATCGTCTCCCTTTGGAATTGCCCTTGTGGACATTTTTTAATGAGATTTCCATAATGTAAAATTTTGAGGACATTTTCTCCATGTCTGCACGCTTTGAAAAACTTTTTCTCCCTAAGATGACCCAGCCAGTCTCTCCTCCCCAGCCCAGGTCTATGTGTCTCATGCTTTTTGACCAGTGATGGTTTCATGTATTTTCTGACCTTGCCCCCAGTGCACTGTGCCAAACTGAAGGCAGACACCAAAAAATGTTCTTCTACGGGAAGAGTCAAATGGGTCAGGGGTCCTTGGGTGAGAAGACTGACACTTCAGTCTATTGAGATGAGGGTCATGTAAACCCTTGAAAGTGCTTCCTTACTTTGAGACTAAAAAAGAATTCATTGATAGTGAGGTTGATACGGTTAAAATCAAGATAAGAAAAGGAGGAGAAAGAAAGGAAGTGGAAAAAGACATTTTTATTTAGATTTTAAATATATTATTCTTTTTAAAGCCTTATAATTTAAATTCCCAGTGTATAGTTTGCTAGCTAGAATAACAAATGTGAAATAATAATAGAGTGCATTTTTTGTTTTCTAAGAACTCCATGTGTATCATGTTGTTTACTTCACATACACACACACAAACACAAAACAAACTGTTAAAGGAGCTATTATTACCCCATTTGACAGATTTGGAAATTGAGACTTGCATAGATCAAAGAACTTCTCCCAAATCGGATAGCTAATCAGTAAAAAATCTGAAATTTAGACCCAGTTCTATTTGACCACCAAGTCCAATCATTTAATCCTTCTGTTTTCCCTTACTTGAGAAACAACACCCCATTTTTTACTGATGCACATTTTTAAACATTGAACAATGTATTCACTTTTTCTTACTGCTGGAGCAAATTTCCACAAACTTAGTGATTTAAAGCAAAATCTATGCATTATCTCATAAATTGTCCAGATCAGAAATCCGGGCATGGCGTTCTCTTCTTTAAGTCTCAGAAGGTCAAAATCAATGGATCAGCCAGGGCTGCCATTCTCATCTGGGTCTTGGGATCCTCTTTCAGGCTTGCTGGCAGAATTCATCTCCTTCTCACACTTTTCTTCTAATTCCCTCTACCTTCAAGCCAGCGACAGCAGATTGCCTCATTCTCATGCTTTGAATCTCTCTGTCTTTTCCCTCTTCCTTCTCCTCTGCTACCAGTCTGAGAAAGTTCACTGCCTTTAAAGGCTCATGTGATTAGATTAGGTTCATCCAGATAGTCTCCCTTCTCATGTGTGCAGGTTCTGGAGATTAGCACTTGGACATTTTTGGGAGATCATCTTAGAAATTCTGCCTACCAGGAATAATTTCTGATTTAATGGAATTTATATATTCACATGTTAAAATGTAAACAAACAAACAGATATCATATAAGCAAGTACTACTTCAGCTTTATGCCTCTCAAGTCATTGGCTTGACCTCTCACTTCAACGAACCCATATGCTAAGGCCCATCCCAGCATCTTATGACAAATATCCTGATCATGTTGTGCATGTTCAGGTGATAAAGTCCCATGAAAAAGATAGACTCCTGAAAGTCTTTGACATTTTCTTTGTTCTCGTGTAAAATGTTCTTTGACCTAGAATTTACCTTCCTGTTTAAAAACTGTATTTATATATAGTAATTAAACAATAATTAGTATATATTTTATAGAATTATATACATCTACATGCAATAATTATTATACATTATGTAAATGTGCACATAATACAATTTTTTATCAAATTGTGATCATACCATATAGGCAATTCACGTATTTTTTTATGCATATCATGCTTCTTACTTGTTAGTAAATAGTCCTGAAAGTGTGATTTTTAGTCACTACATAGTAGTTATCATATGATCTTATTTAACTAGCCCCATTGGTTGGATATCACGATGAACAAATTTTACAAAAACTTGCTTATTTTCACAAAATGAGTATCTAAAAATCAGAAATACGAAGTCAAACACTTAAGACTCACAAAAAGGACTATCAAAATCCAAACTGCCACCAGCAACGTATGAAAGCGTGCATCACCCACGTGCTTGCCAAAACTGACCCGCAGCCGATTTTTCTGATTTGCCCACTTGGTAGACAAAATAACATTTCGTTGTTCTTTGAATTTGCAATCCTATAACTCTAATGAACTTGAATGTTTTTGTTTGCTGAGGATTTATACTTTTTATGCTGTAAATTGTCTGCCATGTCATTTCCCCAAGTTTTTTCAGTTGGAATAGTTAACATTTTCTTTGGGATTTTTATCTTTCCATGCTAAAGATAGTAACACTTTGCCTGACACAACGGTTCAAAATATTTTTCTCAGTTTGCAGTGTGCCTTTCAATTTCTTTGAGAGGTGTACGTGTGTGTGTAAGACGTAGTTTTCAAACTTACATAGTCATCTGTATCAATGTTTTTCTTTATTGTGTCTCCTTTTGCTTATAAGTTTATAAAGAGTCTTTCTATTCTATATTGCCAAATCAACTGTATGTAAATAAATGAAAAATAAACAAATAACTCCTGGGGGTCTTGCATGATTTTTCCTTTATACTTCTCCACTCCTATTCAGGTGAGCAACCGTGACACATTGGGAGTCCTCCTAACACACCAGGCTCAGACACGCAAAACAGAACTGAGCTTCATTCCTGTCAAAAGACTCCTTCCCCATACGTCCTACTTCTCTTTACTACTTTGTTAATTACTAGGTCACTCAGATTCAAAAGCTCTCTGTCTCCCATGAATTTGCCTTCTCTGTGGTCATCCACAGCTAATGCCACCTTCTCTTCTACCTCATTAAGAAGACTTTATAGCCATTCTTTCTTCCCTTCCGCCGTAACTTCATCACTTCCCTCTTCCACATGTACAGGCAGATAGGTAGATAGATAGATGATAGATAAATCAGGACTTTTAACGGAAATAGAATCATGCCATACACTTTACACAACTTGCTTTTTTCCATATAATAAGAAATCATGGTCATCTCTACAAGTCACAAAATTTACATTTAACCATCTTTTTCTTAACAAGGCTTTTTTTCCCCTTAATCTTCCTTTATATCTTACCTTCATCTTCCCCTAACTTCTTTCCATTTCCTCTGCCACACATAACCCGCTTTATTTTCTCATTCCTTCAGGTATACACATGCACACATACGAACATATGGACATATACATGGATAGAGATATTTTTCATTGTTGCACAAAAAGGAGATTATTCATTGTACATGCCTTCCTACATCTGTTCTCACTCAATAATATCTGATGGAATTCTCTTCAAGTCAATAATTATAGCTCTAATTAATTATTTTCAGTGGCTGTATATTATATTATGCTGCAATTGCAGCCCTTACTGATGAATATTCACTTTTTTTTCCTATCAAAAGAATGCTACAATAAAATCTTTTTACATGTATCCATCCATGCTGGTGCTTTCATTCCTGTGGATGGATCTTCCAAAGTGAAAGTGCTGGGTCAAAGAGTTTGCATATTTCTGTGTTAATAGATGCCGTAAGTTTGCGAAAAATTAAAGCTAAAAAACTGAAAAAAAATTTCCACAAGCAATATAAAGGAAATCTATCTTCTCAAATCCTTGCAACCAATAGATAACTTTTGAATTATTAATTCATAATATTATTAGATTATGATCAGAGAGTGGCCTCCATTATTGTATTTTGTATATATTCCCTCACATATATAAAAACCTTATTAGGTTTTAAATTCAGTTGCTGTTATTTGGTGCATATAGCTTGTGTCATATTATATCTTTTTCATAAATTATGACTTCTATCTTTATAAGATGTCCTTCTTTTATGGTTGAGATCTTTTAAAACTTAAATGCCAACTTGCCTGATGTTGCCACTGCCTCCCAGGAGCTTTATTCTTGTTTTCATTTTCTGGTATTATTTAGT